GAAACACATGACCTCATAAAATATCTGTCATGGTTGGAATCATTGCCATGGTACCGCTAACTGCTCCGGGAGTCGTGCTTTGAACAAAGGTTTAGCAGATTGTGTTTGTGTTTAAGCGTGCTCACGTTTGTGTGTGTGTGTGTATGTGTTCCTGGTGTTCCTTCCGTTATGGGGGTCCAAATGTCCCCACAAGGATAGTTATACCAGTAATCTTTGACCTTGTTGGGACATTTTTTTTTAGTCCCCATCAGGAAAACAGCTTATAAATCATATGAAATTGATTTTTTTCTGTGATCGGCAGGTTTATAGATAGGGGATAGAATATGTATACCGTAAAACTTCAAATAATAGCCCAGGCTTTTATTTTCCCAAATTGTCGTATTGTATTGTATTTGAGACAGGTGTCTATAAGACAGGCCTTTATAATTTAGTGTTGAGATGTTGTTCATTGAGTGTCTAATCTCTAAAAATCTCCAAATGCTCCTCGTGAAACTGCAGTCTTCCTCTGCTCGTTAGGCGGGATAAAATTGTGCTTTGGCGGCCACCGAAAAGCGGACGATCTGGCGGTTTTAGAAGATTAACAACCCGAAAATAAAAAACAGACACGGCCTCTATTTGAGACCGGCTTTTATTTACCCAAACCTGCAGTCACATTAGGCGTGTAAAAGAGACGGGCGTCTATTTGGGACTTGGCTATTATTTGAAGTTTTACGTAGAGGTCGACCGATATTGTTTTTTTTCACGCCGATACCGATCTTTTGAAATCCGGGTCGGCCGATTAATGCTGCTGATTTATTTTGGCCGATATTTGCTTGGTTTTTAACCTCTATTTGAAAGATAAAATGTAAAGAAATGATAATTACTTAATATAGACTAACTTTCTCAACAAAAACATTTTATCCTCTCAAAAAATGCCCTGAAACATGTATTTTTGGTTTGTTTTGTTTGTTGACTGACAAAGACAAATGGACATAACCTAATTATCACAAAAAAGGAGAAAAAAAACTTTAAATGATTTAATTTTTATATATTATATTTTATTTAAATTAACTTCTAACAATAACGTATTTCTCTAGTAAATTGCTGTTGAACGACAAAACCAACCACCAGATGGGAAAATTATATTTTACAAAAACTTTAAATGCACCCCAATCCAGCTACTACTAACAGTCAGTGTTGTGCCTAAACGCGTTCAATGAACGACAGTTCATGAACGCGTTCATATTTAGGTCTGCTGCTCATTCGGCTGGAAAATGACTCTAGCGGCAGCGTGCGTCAAACACGCAACACTAGACTGCCTACAGATGCGCCTGCCTAATAATCGGCTTGATATACTTGGATATTGGCCAATGCCGATTATGTTAAAAAATGCCAAAAATCGTCCGATTAATCGACCGACCTATTAATCGGTTTTACAAAACCTTTTATTTATTATACCTCTAGTTTTACGGTACGAAGTTTTTACAGAATAAAAAAAATCGTTATGTCTATAGAAAGTCCCCATAAAACATGGAAACTGTGTGTGTGTGTGTGTCTGTGTCTGTGTGTGTGTAATGACTAACACCAAATGTTCATTACACATTTCATTTTAGAGGCTGAATTCTTAATTCTGTCATTTAGTTTTGATACTATAGTGATTTATAGTGTTACATTTGCCACTGACATCACAGCCATGATGAAATCATGTATGATCGCTACCAGAGAGAGTGTTAGATGCTGTAGATATTACTTTGAATATTTGGCATAAAAAAATTCAGACAGCAGTAGAAAAATATTGGACATCTGAAAATGATTTTATGGAACTCTAAAGTCAGTTGTTTTAAAATTCACAGTGAACCTGTCACTTTTTTCTAAGGCTGAGAGGGCGCTTTACTAAGCATGGTCTGAATAACTTGCATTTTATTGGTTATTTAAATTAAATTGCCCCCGCCTCTGATCCCCTACTGTTTTTTTCTAGTAATGACCAACACTTTTATGAAACACTGGTCTCATTTTAATTGATATTATGTTTGTTTTGGTGAAAATGCTGGTTTGCATTTCACTGATTTTTATTCATTTATTTTTCCATAAGTAGCTTCTTATCCTGATCCACTCGCTCACATTTTCTGTTTAAGTCAACATCTCTAACCTTGATAGATGTTGTAATAACATTTTATCATGGTTCATGGTATGCAGGTACTCGTTCAAAGGGATGTGACCCTGGAGCCAGAGAGCGTGTAAGAGAATAAACATAATGATATCTTATCGTCTATAATCCGTGTTTCTGCCTATGTCTGACATTCACCTCTGTGTCCTCCTGTGTGTTTAGACAGTGCATTCATCACTTTGGGCCCAATGACGACCTTCTCTGAGACCTATACCACTGGATCATGTCTATCTCATAATCACTCTCTCTCTCTTTCCCAGAACAACCATGTTGTATATCGCTTTGTGTCTGTTCCTCTCCCTCCCAATCCCTTTTAGTTGTACAAAAGTTATCCTCCCTCACCCCTCTTCCTTTCTTTCTTCAGCATGACAGCCGTTTACTGGAGCATTATTACTCCCTGTATAAGCCCTTCTTTAATTAGACACCAATTTGAACGGATTTACGCTTTTTCACATGCCAAAACATTCATATTGGCTGTTTATCCCTGTGGTTAAAGGGCATAGCTGTCAAACTGACCACAATTCATGGCGATATTAAGTGTTTTGCAGTGAACTGAGTAGCTCCGTTCCCTCCGAAATAACATGGGCTAACTGGTGATTAAGGATTTAGAAGACGAAGTGGAGATGCCTGCGTCGGGTGGTCCTGTAAATGATTCAGGAGAACTGATTGCTGGTGTGCGGCTCACCGTCATTTCAATGTGTTTTTGAATCTCAGTCATTAAAGCTCGGCCCGCATTTCAATTTAAGCTCTCATCCTCCGCTCTGACGACTGTGATCTCCGTGCAAGGCGAAAATCGTAATTTAGTCGTTGCGCCAGGCAGTTATTTTTCTCTTTGATAATACATATTATATGGCTGGGATTTCTTTGCATAAATCAAAGTAGTATGAAAGATGAAAAGGAAATTTGCGTTTCACGCGTGGAGACCTTCCTTATGCGGTGCTTGTTATTACCACACTCAAACTGTTATAGTAAACGAATGAAATCGTAAAACGCTGGCAAACGGATCTCTCCAAATGATCAACGTCCCAGTGTATTTCGACATCAGCTTTGAACTGAGGAAGAGTTGTAGTCAAGACCACCTAAACCGAGACCAAGTCAAGATCAAGATCGTGTGTTGAACCAAAGACAAGACCAAAGTCAAGATTAAGACCAGACCAGCATTCCTTAAATTCATCCAAAAGATCCACATTTATAGATTGAGAAATGTCTTATATTATAATTTTAGAAGCATCTGAAGCATCTGAATTGGTGCAATTACAACTGCATAAATAATGTTGAGATTATTAATTTTTTTACTAAAATGTTTTTTATTGAACATTTGTATTAAATCGGTATGTTTTCAATCGTGCTCATATTTGTGAAAGCGGCTCTTTAGCTCTTGTGATATTGTTTAACTATATTGTTTATGTAGCATTATAAAAATCAAGATCTCATACAAGTACTTTTTCTCTTAAGTCTCACATTTTGTAGCCATTTGTATTAATTTTGGTGACATTTTTGACACAACCCCTCGTTGATTTGAAATGAGTTATTGATTGCATTGAAGCAGGAAGTTTTACATCCAGTCCCATTTATGATATTAACAAATAAATCAGCAATTTAGTGATATTCCCGCAGTTGTGGCCTTGGAATGAAATCATACATGTTATTGTAAATAGTCAGGATAAGTTGTTGTTGTAAAAGGGGTTAGGCAAAATAAGTCTTGACTTCAGCCTAAACCCCTTCGGTCAGTATTTATGTGTTATTTTTTTATTTTTATTTTTTTATCTTATTTTTTTCTCTCTCTCTTTTTTGTGTTACATGATTTATGACATGATTTCTAAATGACTGACTGAAGAAATAAATAAATACAAATACAAAATACAACAAATACAAATCCCGAGTCCTCTTAGCCTTAGGCCGAGACGAGGCCGAGTATAAATGCCAAAGATTAAGACCTCCCAAAAATGTCGGATCTCAAATACCACAACACAACACTCCAGTCAAGGAAACTCGTCACGTTTATTTATTCATAGCACATTTAACTGATGAGCATTAAACATAAAAATTGAAGTGAATTACAGTTCAATGTCTACTATAAAGCAGCTCTCCAGTGTTTGTTTGACCTCGACGGACTCAAAACGAAGTGATGAACCGTATAAGATTTCCATGTCAAAGAAGGCGGAGCCTCAGAGCCACACCTGTCCTGTTAGGTAAGCGCCATCGACCAATGGTAGTTTAAAGGTGTGGACCAGCCGGAGCAAACTTACAAAACAAACTCCAAACGTCCTTCGTTTTGGCCTAAATTCGTCACACCAGGTCGTTCTTTGATTTCGCTGGAAGTATATTGGGTGCTTCAGAAGGAAGCCATGGATCTGGTTTCTCCCTTTGACTAAATCTCTCACTTTACATGTACTATCACGCCTATCCGCTAACAGAGTCATCCTGCTGAAGTCGCACTCGCTGTTCCTGTATGTCTCTCACACGCTCCCTCTCTTTTCCCCTCCTCGTGACCCTGGCTTCCTCTCTGCCCCGCTAAAGGTGTTTGACTGTGAGCGGCAGTGAGGATTACCTTTCCATCAGTAGAAGAATGAGGTGTGAAAAGCAATCTGAGGAACGCCAGGCCGGCTGATATGGAACTATGGCGGATGCAATTATGCCTATGACAGATCATTTCTGACCTGATCCCTCACTGCTCTGGATGGCAGCCAGCCACAGACGCTGTTTTGTTTTGCTTGTGCGCCGTGTGAAATTTTGAAAACCTTTAGCAAGGCAGTAGTGACATAGCAGACTCTGCTCTCCCTTACAGTACTGCTCTTGAGGAACAGAAATGATGGTGAAGATGATGTATGCAGTTTTTCATTTCTCTTTTTAGATACTCTTCCCAAGGGTGGTCGCTCGACGAGATTAGCATATTTGCTCTGGTGGATGCCTTTGTGCAAAGATGCAAAGGCCTAATAGAGGTGAGAATACACTACAAAATGATGCAAAAAAACACATTCGCAAACTACATTTTTTAAATGCGTGCAGAATTTTTACACCCCTACTTTTTTCAAACTCGCAGCCGTAGAATATGCTCTCCGATTTCTCAATAATTCACATCTCTGTGTTTTTTTTTTTTTGCTTTCACTAAATGTCCTTGCTGAGATCTGTATTTTATATCACTTGTCATTTTTATATTTATTCATGCACTTTTTTTGCTGTGTGCTCCTATTAGTTCCACATAGTATTGGCACTTTGCACAAATAGGGCAGAAAGTAGTGCATTGTTTTCTCTTTCAAAAAGTGATTAGTGAAAATAGAAATTATTGTCAATCAGCCATTGGAGGTCAAACTGAATTTTGAGCTGTTTTGTGATTCGTTCATTTAAAAATAAATAAAGTAATAAAAACTATTTTGAATATATATTAAATTTGGGTACTTTCCTGTTATCCGGACCCCACGATGGCCTACCCCTAACCCCGCCCCTAAACTTACCCGTCACCGGGGTTAAGACCAATCAGGGATGATGGCCTATCCCTAACCCCGCCCCTAAACCTAACCCGTCACTGGGGTTAAGCCCAATCAGGGATGATGGCCTACCCCTAACCCCGCCCCTAAACCTACCCGTCACTGGGGTTAAGACCAATCGGGACGATGGCCTTCCCCTAACCCCGCCCCTAAACCTACCCACCACTGGGATTAAGACCAATCGGGACGATGGCCTACCCCTAACCCCGCCCCTAAACCTACCCGTCACTGGGGTTAAGCCCAATCAGGGATGATGGCCTACCCCTAACCCCGCCCCTAAACCTACCCGTCACTGGGGTTAAGCCCAATCAGGGATGATGGCCTACCCCTAACCCCGCCCCTAAACCTACCCGTCACTGGGGTTAAGCCCAATCAGGGATGATGGCCTACCCCTAACCCCGCCCCTAAACCTACCCACCACTGGGGTTAAGACCAATCGGGACGATGGCCTATCCCTAACCCCGCCCCTAAACCTACCTATCACTGGGGTTAAGACCAATCAGGGATGTTGCCCTACCCCTAACCCCGCCCCTAAACCTACCCATCACTGGGGTTAAGACCAATCAGGGATGACTATAGTTCCTAAATAGTATATGGTGGGGTCCGGATAACAGGAAAGTACCTAAATTTGTTGTTAGATGTTAGATTTTTTCATTTTAAATAAAAGGCATTTAATGAATATGCTTCTTTCTCTTTCTTTCAGGTGTGTGAGTGTCAGCAGCAGTTTGCTCGCTACGAAGAGGGTGAGCGGGTGCCATTGCCAGTCTTTGCAGGGCGTCAGGGATCAGAGGTCACTCAGAGATTGCTGTACATAGAGGCAACCTTTGACAACTGCCTGCAGGTCCTGAGGTCTGTTAAGGACATCCTGGATGTCGGAAACACCTCTTGGCACAAAGACTTCTCCAGGTGCAGTGTGTTTGTAAATTGATCAGGGCACAGAGAGAAAGAGAGGTTGTGTGAAATAGCTGGCTTTGTTTGTCCATATGGCCAATACACTGGAAGCTGCACATCACCTCTGAATGTTTCCTAATCGTGGACCAATCAGCTGTGAGCTTTGGGCTTCATCGAGATTTTTGTCCCTTCCCACTTTGACGCTTCAAAAAGTTCGCAAAAATAGTCCATATGAATTGAGTGGTTTAGTCCAAATATTCTGAAGAGACTCGATCGCTTTATGATGAATAGATTTAATTTAGGCTTTTATTCACATGTAAACATTGATCAGCGAACATAAAAGCTCAACCGATCCTGCTTGATGCGCGAGAACAAAAAAAAGTGGAAGTTCAAACTTGCTTCGTAATAGGGCTGCAACTAACGATTATTTGTGATATTCGATTAATCGGACGATTATTTTTTCAAATAATCGGATAAAAAAGTTGTTTGTTTTTTATAGCTAAATAAAACCCTAAATCAGGGTTGTGGCGAGCAGGACGAGGCCGAGGTACGTGAGAGATGCGAGGTTCGATATCACTCACGCCACCGGCCTCACGACGCTATCTCACGTCCCTCGGCCTCGTCCTGCTCGCCACAAGGGTATTTATGTGTAAAAGTGTACTTTAAAACTTTAAAAAGTCCAAAAGCCACACATTGAGTTTTACTAATATCAATATTTGCATTGTTTTTAGTGATTATTGCTGATGGCAAGTTGATTAATGTAAAAACAATATATATATATTTAACATATTATGTGTTAACACAATTATTGTTAAAACAAATGTACACAGACATGTTGTTCAGATGTGAAGATATAAACTATAGATATAAAAACATCTCAAAAATATAATTAATTTCATTTTTATTAATTCATAATTAATTGAATTATAAGGATAAATTGCATCAGGATTGGCCTGTTTCAACCAATCGCCAGTAAACAATCCCCGTGACGTAAGCAGACCAACTAATCGATTCGTTGACAACGATTTTCATAATCGATTATAATAGTTGTTGCAGCCTTACTCCGTAACATGAGAATGAATCTCATTGGTTGATAAATGTTTATACTATAAATAAAAGTCTAAATTAAATCTGTTCATCATATTAAGCGATCGAGTCTCTCCAGAAAATTTGGACTAAACCGCTCAATTCATATGGATTAGTTTTACGATCTCTTTATGAACTTTTTGAAGCGTCAAAGTGTCAGTTGTGACAGAAATCTCTCATAATTCATCAAAAAGATCTTCATTTGTGTTCTTAAGATGACCGATCTTTACATTTTTGGTTGAACTATCGCTTTAACAATAAATGCTGTTTAAATCTATTAGTCCAAGAGTCTCATGATTGAATTGTTTTTATACAATATATATATAACAAAACTCATATTAGACAGGAAAAATAAAGCAGCTTGAGTAACTGACAGGCAACAACATTAGAAAATGGGTTTTTATCAAATGAATGTGCCACATTTTTGGTCCTTACAGCGTAGACCGCTTCATTGACTAAAATGGGAGCGATCTAGTTTTCTTGTGTAGTGACACGCTAAATATGTAAGATTGTGTGTCAGTCTTTCTGCCAGGCTGTCTATGACTATGAGGCAGTCAGTCCGTCTGGTTGTCATGTATATTTATGAATGTTTGTTATTGGCCCGCTGGCCTGTTGGGGATTTCCATACATCCTGTATTAGCATATCTCCATAAATATGCGTATAACGACCCGCGTATTTGGATCGTCTAGATACTTTTTCATGAATATTCTGCAGTGGGGAGAGGATCACTGCGCCTGCTGCGTATGAGCCCATCGAGTCCCTATTGTCATTCACAACTGTTTGTGGCAGCAGGCAGTTTGGCTGCGTGTCTGAATAGCATCATGACGGAAGCTGGTCTCCCCATCACACCCCCACCCCGGGCACTGCCGGACCTTGGGAAAGGGAGCTGTTTGTGAGCAAGCTGATGGCCATGATGGATTGGGGCCGAGACGGGTCGTGAGGTTAGGATGTTGTTGCCAAGACAAACAGCTGTGCTTGTGTCTGGGGCAGGTGTTTCATAGGGTCTCAGCATATTGAGAGCACCCAAATCAATACCAGCCTCCAGAGTGTGTGTGCGCTGGACTCTGCCTTTGAATAGAGGGCACCGATTTGTGTTTGGAGCGTGCTGTACAGTTCTGCCCATTTCTTTGTTGTTGTTGTGTGCCTATCTGTGTTTGTGCGTGTGTTTTTAGCTTCTGTGCTAAAGTGAAAGATCTGGAGGTGATGATCCAGAATTTGATCACTTCGACCTTCGAGACGGTGAACTGTGTGGAGGAAGGAGTACAGCTGCTCGACATGTTTCAGCACCTGTCTGGAAGAGAGGTCTTTCTCACACACACTTAGCCTTCAATTCACACACACTTTATCACCTCCTTTAAAACCCGTGCGCACTGCTCTTCTTAGCAAATACAGTGAATACAAATGACTCCAGCAGAACAGACCACACACAGACTTTCCATGTCACTTCCTTTTCACTCTCATTTACTCAAAAGTTCAATAGCAGGTCCGCACACACACATGACCTCTGCTCTCTCACCCGTCACCTGTCTCTTTACTTAATGTCATTAAGATGTTTACCTCATTAATCACCTTCATCTCTTCTGACTTTCGTCTTCCCCTTCAGTCTTTTCTCTTCTCCCTCGCCCTTTCGTTCTGTCAATCTCATTCAGCTTTTGAGTCTTAAATTTCACACTGCTGCTTTAGTGCCAAAGCATTAGAACAACTTAAAACAAAAAAGTCCCACTGGAGGTAAAGTAAAATGAAATAATAATAATAAACGGATTTTGCAAAGTGATAAGGCATTGGCAAACTATTCGATTGCAAACAGGCAACTTGTTAACGTGATGATCATTGATTTGTTCTGCATTAAGAAAGCAACAGTGGTAATTTTACCTCTTTTATATCTCTCTCAGGCCATCAAGCGGACCATTGACAGGAAGACGGTGGATCTATACGCTCTGCTCAGTGCTGAGCTGAATAATGTCAATATGGTGATGAACAGGATGTCATCTCTCACTCCTCCTCATATGCCTCAAAACGCAGGACAGGTCCACTTGATCCGAGCTCTCCGCTCACGGATAGAAAGACCTATGGAGGTGAGATTCTGTGTGTGAGTTGGAAAGAAAGGTTGAACCTTCAAAAAATCAAACTATAAGAGCAGGGATGGGAATCAAAAACCCTTCTCGGTTGGGTTGCACCAGCCGTTCGTAATTTTTCTTAAATTGGAACGTAAAGTCCTAGACGCTACTAGATGACTACTATAGGCAGAGCGCTGCCAGTAGGTTGTAAACTTTCCGTAAAGTAATGTGTTTTTACCCTCAATGATCCAATTGTAGCTTTCAAATACGTTAGCAAAAGTTGTTTAAATGCTAGGAATTTCAGTTTATCCTTCGTTTTAACTTCTTTTGCTCAACCAGTGTTGGGGAGTAGTTAACTACATTTTTTAAGTAGTAACTTAACTACATTTTTTCAGTAGCTTGGCAGTAGCTCAGTTGCTTTTTACACAGTGTAGCTTTTCCAGTAGCTAACCACTTTTTGCAGCAAGTAGCGGTGTAGCGCGAGCAAAAGCTACATCGCTACATTGTCAAGCCTGCGCGAATCAGCCCGATGCAAGGATATTCTTCATCTTGTTAGATTACAAACTCATTTTTTGCCATTACCGCCACCTGTTGTTTAATCACGCATCTTGCGGCTAACGGTTCACTGACGTTAAGAAGTGAGTTGACAGTGACACACCCAGGTGACGGCAGATTTTGAGGATGGAGAAACAAACGTTAATTACCCATGGTCTTATTTGTCCAAGTTCAATCGTTATTTTTGAGAAAATGTTCTAAATGCAATTTATGTTGAATGTATATTTCGTTCTTGCAATGTTGTAGGCTATTTTGTTGCAATATTGCACTTTTGACAAACAGTCTGTGATATTTGAGTGTTGTGTGTAATAAAACAATACTCTTTGAAATCATAATTGTATTGCATTGTTTTAAACACTAAATATTTGAATTACATTCATCAGACACTTATTCAGTTATTTATAATATATAATTTATAACATCTTATAATAATAATAGGTAATATAATATTTATAATATGTTGTTCAAAAAGTAAAAGTAGTTTCAACGTAGCTAGCTACTTTTTGATAGTAACTTGTAGTGTAGCTAACTACTTTTCCAAAAGGGTAGCTTGACTGTAGTTTAACTACTTTAACGTACGAGTAGCTTGTAGCTTGTCAAACTACAGTTTCAGAGTAGCTTCCCCAACACTGCACTCAGTGGCGCCTCCAGAAATTTTTCGTAGGGGTGGCCAGATGGGGCCAGTTAAAATCTTGGGGTGGCACACCAAAACTACAGTATAAACCATAATTTCAGAATTGTTTTCTACTGTTGTAATAAACCAGCCTGTAGAAAACTATCAGAAAGACTTAAGGAAACTCCTACTGATATACTTTGGTTTATTGTGTAATATTTAATGTTACTAATGATATTAGTAGGGCCCAACTAATATATATTACATTGTATATAATGATATATATTATATGATATATAAGGGTCCTTGCCCCACAGCAAATTTCCAGATACTTACATAATTGTGATGAATTTAATCATTTTTAAGTTATTAGTTTGCATGTATTATTAGTTTAAATGTATTATGAATTTTTAATACACTTAATGAGTGTACATCAGCAGCAAAAAGTAATTCTTGAAAAAATCTGCACAGTAATTTTATAAAATCTAAATATGTTAATAAAAACAAATTACTATTACTTCTCTTTTAAAATTCAATCAGGCAATCATGTCACAATTTTATATTTATATATTAATGTCAAGAATTCAGAAGTGCATAGCCTAAACTACAAATAAATTATATACAATTAAATTATGCTTATTTAAAATGTATTGAGCAGGCTAGGTATAACAAAATATATTGGCTTTTAATAATATTTCAGTGCGCAAACCCATGATTGAGCCCGTTCTTGCATGATTACATGAAAAACATCGCATTTAAAAGCTCATGTCACAAATCGAAAAAATGTTGAGCGCACAAATCCAAGTGCGATTTGTTCCTTTGTTTCACAGTTATTGTGCGTTTGATGCCGATTCATAATCCTTGTGATATACGTGTGATCTAACAGAACACGGTAGTGAGTCGCTTAAAAACAGCAACAAACTCCAAGAAAATAAAGTAATTTTATGCGAATATACAGACTTTTATCTACAGATCATGCATTTAAAATGACAATATATCATATTGGAGAGAGTTTTACCGTGCATCCAAGAGGCGCGCGTGCTGTTTGAATATGAATGGAGAATGATGACAGTCGCAGAGGAGGGAAAACGAGTTTATACTTTAATTATGTAAATATACTTCTGTCCCTCACATTAAGCTATGGAATGACTTCAGATGACTTTGTCACCCAAACTGACGTGAAAAAGCGGGAGGCGCCGAAAAGCGCGCTGTTTGCATCCTGTCCAAACGTGGCAAAAACACACCTAAAAGCTGCTGTATACCATTTGGCACTTAAAAAGCACGTCACGACACATAATTCCCCGTCTTCTTTTACTTAAGAATATTTTTGACTTATTTATAAAATGCATAACTGATGCTACAAAAATTAATACTGGCCATTGGGGTGGCCAATGGGGTGGCCAGGAGTCGGCCAGGGGTGGCCATGGCCACCCCTGGCCACCCCCTGGTGGCGCCATTGACTGCACTTAACTAACGGTAAAAATACGTTTCCATTAAATACGATACTTAATCATGATAACATAAGTGTTTTTAAATGTAAATAACATTCAGAAACTGTATTTAAGACTAAATTAGAATAAATAAACAAGACCATAAGAAATAACATTTATTGATCATGACTGATTTATTTGACATGCACAATACGGACTGATGGGATAGACGCCTATATCGGCGCGCTGTGGGATCGGTTTGAGTTGTAATCTATTAACATAATGTTCTCTCACTTAAAATGTATGCGAGTGTAAATGTCAGCATTATCATATACAGAATGTGACCCTGTACCACAAAAGCAGTCTTTTTTTATTAGGTTTTTTGAAATTTTAATTAATACATCAACTGAAAGATGAATAAATTAGCTTTCCATTGATGTATGGTTTGTTAGTATAGGACAATATCTGGCCGAGATACAACTATCTACTATCTACAGCTGAAAATCTGGAACCTGAGGGTGCAAAAAAAATGGAAACATTGAGAAAATCACCTTTAAAGTTGTCCATTTATGTTTGAGATATTGCTGAATTCACTCACATAAATAATTGCTTTATATATTTACGGTAGGACTTCGAAATCGAAAAATCGATAATTTTGACCCATACAATGTGTTGTTGGCTATTGCCACAAATATACCCGTGCGGCTTGTGTCTGGTTTTGTGATCCAGGGTCACATATCTCTAAAGAATTAAAGTCTGGGAGGTAAAAGAAGAACTTATTGATCCTGTTCAGTCTGTCTGCTATTTTATTCCAACCGTTACTCCTGATCGGAGGCTTCCGTAAATATTTCGTTTAGAGTTACGCTTCAGCTAAGTTTAATGGTGCAATGCAAAAATATTTAGTAGTGCGTAATTTCTAAGTTCCCATTTACGTCAAAACTAGGCTGAGTTGTAACTCACACATGCCTCTGGTGTTTAAAAAACACATTTTGGAATCGATTTTCATGAAATTTTGAAAGTGCCGTGCCATGGCAAAAGAAATGAACATTTTCAGCTGAGTTGTGAACTTGTGATATGTGAGAAACACAGGTCACCCTGAAACTAATTTTATTATTGTGTTTATACCGTTATACAATTTATTCATAGTTTGAAATACATTTTTATATTTTCAGTTTTCATTTTACTTTTAGTAATTGTATGTGCTTTTGTGATTTGTATTACTTTTTGTACATTTCCATTGAACTTGAATTTTTCATTTCAGTCTTATTTTAATTTGTAAATTTAGTACTTCAACATAAATTGGTAACACTTTAGAATGCTGTATCTTACTTACTGCAGAATTAATAAGGAATTATTGACGAACTAATAGGTAATTCTTCATTAACTACTTCTTCACTACTGTTAACTACTAAGGAAGATGTGTTAACTAATCAGTATGTAATATAATTTTACAATTGTGTTAAGTATCAGTTAGTTAATCAATAACTAATGAATTCTGTCATACCTCCTGAAGAACTACTACTAATTATCTACTAATTAAGGTTCAAGAAAAATAACTAAGAAGTAATTACTGAACAGTCATACAAAACTAACCTCAGATTATTTGTATATTTTATATACAGTACTGTGTGTGTCTGTTTTCCTCAGCATAGAATGCCACTGAGTAAATTCATGTATTTGAGGCAACGACTGAGGGAAACTGAAAATATAGAGAACTCATTAGTAATTAATAAATAAGTATCAAATAATTCTGCAGGAATTACTTAGAACCTGGAACAGTATTCTAAAGTGAAAATATAGGGAACCCATTAGTAATTAATAAAGAATTATCAAATAATTATCCAGGAATTAGGCTACTCATAATCTGAAACAGTCTTCTAAAGTGAAAATATAAGGAACTTATTAGTAATTAATAAATAACTTTTAAATAGTTCTTCAGGAATTACTTAGAACCTGGAACAGTATTCTAAAGTGACAACACAGGGAACCCATTAGTAATTAATAAATAATTATCAAATTAATTATCTAGGAATTAGGCTACTTATAACCTGAAACAGTCTTCTAAAGTAAAAATATAAGGAACTTATTGGTAATTAATAAATAATTATTAGATAGTCCTTCAGGAATTACTTAGAACCTGGAACAGTATTCTAAAGTGACAATATAGGGAACCCATTAGTAATTAATAAAGAATTACCACATACTTCTGACTCAAATCAAACTTACTGTAAATAAAAAAATATTAGCCTATATATATTAACGTAATCATCTAAACCTTTGTAAAATACACGACAGTTACTTGCGACAAAGGCGAAGAGAGGTGAAAAAGGCAACAGTGGCAAGGAACCAAAACTCCATCAGGGACAAAATGGAGAAAAAACCCTTGGGAGAACCCAGGCTCAGTGTATGTGGCGACCGCGATATTGCCGGAACTTGAATGGTGCAAAAGAAGTTTAAAATGTATAAGAACTAAGTATAATAATAAGGTGTAATATACATGATATGTTTTTGCTTATTTGCGGATCATAGCCTATAGGTAAATGTCTGCACTTATTTTTCTTATTAGTGCTGAAGAATGACAAACTGACTACTGTGTATGACTGTTAATTAGTAGTTACTTCATAGTTATTTTTCTTGAACCTTAATTAATAGATAATTAATAGTAGTTCTTCGGGAGGTATGACAGAATTCATTAGCTATTGATTAACTAAAAGATACTTAACACAATCATAAAATTATATTACATACTTATTAGTTAACACATCTTCCTTAGTAGTTAACAGTAGTGAAGAAGTGGTTAAGGAAGAATTACCTATTAGTTCTTCATTAATTCCTTATTAGTTATGCAGTAAGTAAGATACAGTATTCTAAAGTGTTACCCATAAATTCTTTTATTTCTGTCAGTTGTCATGACCGATAAGTCCGATTCACTAATGAATGAGTCTTATGAACTGGTTCTTTTTAATGAACCAGTCAAAACAACTCCCAAATGAGCCTCATCAGTCTAAAACTATCATCACGTTCATATTTTACTTCAAATAAACCAAGCACATACGGTTTTGTGTGATCAGTGTAATGGGTTATATAGTATAATGGGCAGTAGTTAGGATGAATTATTTTGTGTTTCCTCAAAAATACTAAAAATTGAATTTTCTTTCCCAAGATATCAAACAAACAGAAATTAAACTCGAGTCCCCAGCAAAAGCTCTCATAAAAATCCCACAGTCAATAAGTGGTATTACAGTTTCCTGACTGATCAGTCCAATCCCAGCATGCACCAGGCCATACCCTTTTCCCTCACCCTTTATAGATGAACTCTATTGGGTTTTACAGACAAATGAATTAGATTCCAACCCAAAACCTTCACCGGCTGTATATGGGAGGTGTGTCAGAAACAGCTTAACTCCAATGATGAGCTCTTCTCTATGTTGACAAGTGTGTTGAGCTGAGCGCCTTGTGTCAAAGGCCAGCAGAGTCCAGTCCCTGGAGTCCAGTCCAGAATGCTATTAAAGCCAGCTGTGCCGCCACATACTCACTTTCTCCTTCTTTTCGCCACTTTCCATTTCATTTTCATTTTCCACTTTATTTAAGAAGGCAATGGCATAAGCTTTAATTGGACACAGATATGATTATATTGCATTTCCCCACAACTGATCCCAAAATTCCCCATAGAGAAACAGAAAGGGAGGATAAAACCAAAGCTTAATGAAGGTTTGATTGGGTTATCGTGAAATATGTTTACATGTTTACTGCATAGCCTATGAGAAATTCCTAACAAGAGCAGTGTTTATCCTGGGTTTGTATAGCTTAGTTGGTTGTTTTGAGTGTTTGTGACCTTGCTTGGTGACTCAGTAAGATCTCAAGACGTTGTTTGATACGTGCACTCACGGAAGGCTCTTCATTCTCGTCTATATTAGATTGTATGGAGGAGAACAAAAATGTATGTTGTTGTTTTATCACGCAATACTAGAGAGCATTTTTAAGTACGGTATTACGAGCTGGTATGGGAACCTGACAGTACAATCAAAATCACAGATCGCTCGCCAAATAAAAATAGCTATGAAGATTATGGGGATCAAAAACTATCTGCCCCCCCAGAAAATCTATGAGCAGTCGGTCATCAGACAGGCACAAAAAATAGTTTCTGACCCGACCCACATCCTCCACCCAGAATTTCAGCTCTTACCCTCAGATTCAGAGTTCCTAAATGTAGGTTAAATCGTTATAAAAACTCTTTTGTACCTATGTCCATTAAGCTTATTAACTCGAACATGTAGTGTTTTGAGGGTGTGTGCAATATGTTGGTTGTTGAGTTGTGTGTTATAGGTCATTTGGATGATTTGTAGGCCATAGAGGAGGTGCAATATATTAATTGTGTAGTCTACAATATGCGCAATATGTTAATTGTATATTCTGCGGGCCAGATGGATTGTGCAATACAGTACTATAGGGTGCGTAGTATGCCAACTACGTATTTTTTGTAAATGAGCCTAAGGGAGAGTGCAATATGTTAACTGTAATTTTTATGTGTTCTATGGAGTATGTAATATGTAGGGCCATATAGAGAGTGTGCAATATCTGTTTGTGTTTTCTTTTTTGCTGTCAATTGTCTTTTTTTGCTGTCTTGTAAAGCTACGGAATGGACAGTGTCCACAACAAATATTCCTTCGGGGACAATAAAGTATATATCATCACATATGTCAACATGTATTTTTTGCACATGTGTTGTCTAGGTTCTCCGCCGTGCTCATTTCCTGCCTCAAACCAGCAGTGGAGAGGATGTGAATGTGAATTATGCTAACCTGTGTCAGGTTCTGGATGAGAAGGTGAGGAGGAAGTTCACAGACTGGATTCAGAGTCTGAACAAAGAGTGTCTCCGCAGTCTTGACCAGCCGCTCATGATCCGCTGTAAAGCGCATGCAGGCTTGTTGGACATCAACTTTAACAAGTACGCAATCACACATACAGCCCCTCCAGTACCAGTAGTGGTGTGTATGTGTATATACTAAATATATATATATTAGAGCCAGACCGATATATCGGCCGGCCGATATTATCGGCTGATATTAGGCATTTTCCATAATATCGGTATTGGCAGTTATAATGGCCGATTTAAAAAATAAAATAAAAATGGACGAAACACGCTTGAATCATCTCTCCTTGGCCTGTTATATTGAAAATGTATGTTTTACAATTTGCAGTGTGATGTTATCTATTGCTAAATTGTGGCTCATCATAGACTAGCTAACCACAAAGCTAGCTAATCCCACTATAATCAGTGGAAGACCGCTAACGTTAACATTAATAAGCTTGGAAACCACAATGAACTTTTTCTGGCTAAATAAAGTAATGATTACCGTATTTATAACTAGCATATCTCTAGTTACAGTCCCTGCATTGTAAAATGTAAGTTAGACTTGTGAGGAGTGAACATTTAGACATTGAGAAAAAGTATCAAGCGTATCTTGTGCAGAAAGCTTTTCTTTTACACGTGTGTGAAATCCAACAATTTTTAATAAGAAAAAAAATCGGCCGATATATAGGGTTGGGTATCGAGAATCGAGTATCGATTGGAACCGAGACTAACTTTTCGTTTTTCCCAGAATCGTTCAAAAGTTAAAATTTCGATTCCTAGTTTCAATATTCACAGTCCGCCGAGCGGAAGAGGAAACCGCTGAACAACACCAACGAAGAAGCGTCTACCGGAAGTGTTGGCATAACCACGCGAGTCGAACATGAGTACCTTACGTCGGCGATCCAAAGTGTGGCTTCACTTTTCTAAAAAAAAAAGAAATCTCGGCAAAATGCAAAATTTGTGACAAAAGGAGTATTTTTACAGAAGGATTATTTCCTTCAGAAAGGCCGTTGGTTAGCAAGGTTAGCAAAAGTTTTTTGACCCTGCCTCTTAAAAGAATCGCAATCGAGAATCGTTTGGAACCGGAATCGAAACAAGGAATCGGAATCAGAATCGTTCAAATTCAAACGATACCCAACCCTACCGATATATCGCAATATCGGATTTTAAAACCCAAAAATATTTGTATCGGTATCGGCCTTCAAAATCCTTTATCGGTTGGGCTCTAATATATATATATATATATATATATATATATATATACACACACACATACTACGCAACATACGCAACACTTGTTTTTGCCCTCATTTTTCATGAGCTTTCAACTCAAAGATCTAAGACTTTTTCTATGTACATAAAAGGCCTATTTCTCTCAAATATTGAATGAATGATTATTGCACAGGACCATAAAAAAAGGTTGTTGATTGTGGCATGTGATTGGTCCACTCCTCTTCAATGGCTGTGCGAAGTTGCTGGATATTGACAGGACCTGGAACACGTTGTCGTATACGCCGATCCAGAGCATCCCAAATTTTGAATACACAGAGATACCGTGATGAGATCCTGTGCCATTAACCCATGACCATCACCTCATGTTGCAGCATGATAATGCACGGCCCCATGTTGCAAGGTTCTGTACGCAATTCCTGGAAGCTGAAAACATCCCAGGTCTTGCATACTCACTGGACATGTCACCCATTGAGCTCTTTGGGATGCTCTCGATCGACGTGTTCCAGGTCCTGCCAATATACAGCAATATCCAATTGATCCCAATGGATTATATCCTATGCTACACTGAATATTCTGTTAGACTTTAAGTTGAATATGTTGCAAATACTGTTTATTATTGTTTTTAAGCCACCTATTCAAACATTTCAACAGAAATCAAGTTGTGCTGATGTCAAATCTTAATGCACGTTTCTGAAGTTATTTTATACATGCTGAATGTTGTAGTGTGAATACAAACACACAGACTTAACTGTGAATGTACGACTGTTGTTGTGTGTTAAGGACCCTACTGAAGTTGTTCAATGAGATTCATTACTGGGAACGAATGCTTTTTGAGATCCCTCACTACGTCTCAGAGGTCTATCAGCGCAAAGAGGAACTGCACAACCTGAGAGAGAATGTCCTCCTCGTTGTTAGAGACTATAACAGGTTGGTTTGGTTGACTTTCTCTCCCGCATACTTGCAGACAAACTTGTGAGGACCATCCATACAGCTCGGTTGTTCTTAAAACATTCTAATATCAGCATCATCATCATATTTTTTGGCACTTTCTACAAATCCAAAGCTCTTTTTATCTTATGATCTATTCAAATGTGACATATTTAGTGCTCATTGCTAGGAAAAAAACAACAACATGTTAACTCTTTACTTAAAGCCTTTAAATATAATGCATTACAAAACTATTCTTAATGCATGTATTAGGCCATGCAATACACCTTACAATGCATTGTATGGTTTAATTCATAACTGTAATCACGGTTATAATACATCATAATACATATGTTATGCCTTTAGACAGTAATACATTAAAACACATGACAAACAATCAATCTCAGATATAACAAGGAATCTGCACATATTATAATGCATTTTAACTTTGGTAACATTTGTTTATGAAAATATATCATGCATTATAGACCATTTTGCACGATGTAAACAACACTGGTCCAGAAGTACTTCCTGTTTCAGTTTTTTTAACACTACACAAAAGCTGGGATAAAATAAAACCAACAGAACATATAAAACTGAATCAAAAATTAAAAAAAAAAAACATCTTTAAGATGTGAAATAAAGAAAACAGTTACAAACTGAAACAGGAAGTGTTTCTGGACC